ATTTGCAAGGCCCATCCGCATCCGCGCACCCTCTGCCCCCTGCCATCCCATCTCTTCCAGCTGCATGGCTGCATGGCTGCGGGCATGCTCAGGGCGCCCCCTGCTGGGAGCCGTGGGCACTGAGGCTGGCCCAGCGCCCCGGCCAGTCCTGACGGTGGGAGGTGAGCCCGGCTCAGGGGCAACACCTCTTGGCCTAGTGGAGCTGGACGGCAACCTGACACCCTCAGGGCGGAGTCTCCATGGAAAATTAAAGTGTGTTTTGCTTTTTTGATGAATGGATTTAGTAAAATGTTTTCTTACTTTTTCCTAGACATCACCTGGTGGTATTACCAGTATCAGAGAGGTAAAAAAGTTTAAACTAACTTGACTACTTGGTCACATTACTTTCAAAGGGAGAGCTATTTAATCGAGTATTTATGTTTTGTAATTAGTCTTCTCACTCACCAACTTTCTGTGCCCCTTGTTAACAAACCCCACCTGTATAGAAACAGTTGGAAACATTCTTTTAGAGACAAGTTATGGGGAAAGCTTCGCTCCCCTGGAGCAACTGTTATGTTTTCCTCTCATGGGCAATAAAATATATATATAAGCACTCAGAGCCAATTTGTGGTTCAAGTGTAGTAACTGCTTAGAACAAATGACCTGAATTTCTATGTTCTCTTTTTCCCTGTGGTCTTGACCTCCTAATCGAATCCACATTTTCTGAGGCAGTTTTTCTTATTACTTTATCTCTTATTATTTTATTATATTTATTTCATATAATTGCTTCAATTCCTTTGTGAAACAGAGTGGAATGTGTTAAGGTAATAGTGAGGGAGAGAGGAAGTGGTCGACGGAGTGGGGCAGGTAGGAGAAAGGTAGGCAGTGTGGGGATAGCACAGATAAGGAGCCAAACACCGAAATGTTTCCGGCGCCAGGAAGGTGGCGTAACTGAAGGAAGGGGGCCAGGGGTGATGGAGGGAGCGCTGGATCTGAGCCACTGCTCAGATCTCGTAAACTGTTGCCTTGTGACAACTCGAGACCCAAGTCAGATAATCCCATTTCCCAAGAAAAATCAGAAATCCAAATGTGTACATGGATCCCTTATGTTTAAATATTGGCAATTCATTCCCCCCCCAAAAAAATTAAATTTTTGTAACCTCAAAGCTGGATGGGTGGGTATAAAGTCCAACCCAGAGACCTCAGATGGAGAAACTATTCTCAGTCCAGGGAGAAGGAGATGGCCATGGTCTTTGGTCGCGGTCATGCTCGTAGGCCTAGCAGAGGAGACACCTCTGCAGCCCCCGCCCAGGCCTGTGTCCGTGGGTTATGCATATATGCAAATAAGTCCTGAATCGTCTTCTCCAGCCTTCATCCACTACCGTTAGTGATTCGGTCTCATTTTCCCTACGGCCAGTGATAGATGGTTCCTCCCTTTTGAAGATACTCCTACTTAGAGAACTCTTTTTTCTGTTAGGACACCCATCTCCCTAATATTCGGATGGAGAGGGCAGTGGTCCCCCGTTCCCCACCACACACGGGGTTTAGTGATTTACGGACGTAAAAACATTTCCCAAATTAAAAGTAGTGTAATTCATCGTTGTTGTGGAGTTATCGCCATAGTATGAACTCTCTAAGTTAATTTTCTATCATCCAAATTCAGTCTGACTTGGGAACTGGCTCATAATTATTTTTAGTAACAAAAATAGTAATAACAAGCAATATTGGGCCTCAGAGACTCTTAACAAACCTCAAAAGAAACTGTCAAACACGCTCCCTACCCGTTAATCCTGTCTCCTCCTCTACCCAGGCACTTGGGCCACCCTCCTTTCTTTACTGGGGCCACCTGGAGAGCACCCAGGGACTCTCTGGGGGGCCACAGGAGAGATGCGCACACCTCTGCAACCCTTCCCGAAGTTTCTTCAGAAAGTATTTACAGAGGCCAGACCATGAGGCAGCTGAGGAAAGGAAGGAGGGAGCTGGAGTGAGGCAAAGGAGTGCCTGGGGTGGGCACCCCTCGAGGGTCACCACAAGTACAGGCAGATTCGTGGTTTCCATTCACACATCATGGCACATGAGGGTCACAATCAGCACAGTTTTACCAAGAAAGAGATTAAAATTGAAAATAGAATACATCTCTCATTAGTAAGGAAAAGAATTCATAAAATTTTTGCTCCAAATTTTTTTTTTAATTTTGCTTTTAAGTATGTGTAGGGAGCCGGCTTGACAGTATACTGGGTTGTGATGTAAACTCTAGTTCTTACTATAAAACAATACGAAAATCGAGAGCTGCTGGTTTCAGCTCCATATGCCCACATGCAGGCCACTTCCCAGCATCTTGAGTCCCAGAGACACGAGTTTCCTTCCACAGTTGACCTCGCCATAGCCTGACGAGGAGAGGGTATTGGAAAGGAAAACAACACGAAAGCTTGGCAGTCAACACCCAAATATTCAGGTATTCTAGAATCCGCTTGATATGGAAATTGATCCCCCTGCCCAGACAGCAAACAAATCATTTATTAACAATGTCCAGTTCCACCTTAATAAAGTGGCTTTAATATTTGATATTTCAGTAATTACTTAGTGCATTTTTAATAAAGGGAGCAAATGCAGTTTCTGAATCAGAACCTCTCAAAATCCTGCAAAGAGATTTCTCTGAACTTGGGAGGAAGCTGGTCACAAGATGCTTAATAGAAATAAGACAATCTTGTAAAAATATCTTTAAGCTTCTAGGTAAGATAAACTGGGAAGGTATACCAGATGCCTTCAAAAATACACCATTTCTTTCAAAAGTACATTTGTGTCTTCCTTACTTACATTTTAATATAACTTTTGCCTCTTTTCAATGTTAAATATCTGTGCATTTTTTAAAAACTTTTTAAATTGATTTTCAGAGAGAGAGAGGAAGGGAGAGAGAAAGAGAGGGAAACATCTATGTGAGAGCAAAACATTGACAGGCTGCCTTCTGCATGTCCCCTGCCAGGATTGAGTCCCCAACCTGGGTTTGTACCCTGACTGGGAATCGAACTGGCAACCTTTCGGTGCACAGGACAAGGTCCAACCAACTGAGCCACACTGGCCAGAGCTATCTGTACATTTTTAAATAAAATTGCTATTGAATCTAATGCTAGGAGATTTAAACCAATAATTTGATTTGTATTTTAAAATGAGCTAAAAATATATATGAGTGAGTTAGACTTATGTGGGGGTTTTGCTGTTGTTTGTTTGTAATTGCTACTTGTTAGCTACAAACATAACAATTAAAGGCCCTGAAAGCATTAGAAGGACGTTGGCCACTCGCGGCTGTGTTGCACAAGCAGAGAACCTCATTTATGTTGAGGAATCCGCCTGCTCCCAGCACGTAGAAAGATGACCGCCAGGAATGTCCCCCAATTCCTCTGCCTCCCCCTTGGAAACTTAGCCAAACAGCCAAACACCCATCCCCTTAGGGAAAGGTACCAGATTCAAACTCACCGTGATGGAAACCTTTCCTCTTGAAATCGAAGCATCAAAAGGAAAAGTGGTGCGAAGAGGCGGACCCTGACTAGGACGGTGCGCAGAGCCCCGCACCCGCCCAGCCCAGCCCCTCTCCGTGGCCGTGGGGCGACGGGAATGGCCTTTCCCGCAGCCTGCCACCTCATCGCTGTTCTCGCCAGCCCAGACTTACAGTCGTTCAACATACGGATTTGGTGACATCTGCTTGACAGCGGTGGGCAGAAGGGGTTGGGCGGTAACCGATTCCTGCGGGAGTGACTCTGTAGGAAGGCTCTGGCAGGGCCCGGGGACGCACACGCGCTCGCCCGCTCACCAAGGCGCTCCAGGCTCCACTTCTGTGGGTCTGGGATCCTTCGGTAGGAGGCGGGCAGGGTCCTCGCTTCAGTTGACCGCCACTTTCTAAATAACTGGTGAAAATGACGCTGCATGGCAGTTAAACTGCCACTTAAGACAGCGGTTCTAAGAGCCCTTCGGTGCCTTAGAAACTTTTGTTTGTATAAAGTAGCTCCCATGTAAGTCCATTTCTTATTATGTGAGGCTCTCTAGTGAATATTACGAAACAATACTATAACATGCATTCCTGCCTTTCAATTAATATTTAATGCTATAATTGGAACTTTTTGCTAGATCATGCTAGCCTTTCTCTAGTTGTCCCAAATGGTGAGAGTTTACTCTATGCTTTTGTTCGTCTGTTTTTTAAATGTTTTTATTGATTTTAGAGAGAGAGGAAGGGAGAAAGAGAGAGAAACATCGATGAGAGAGAAACATCAGTCACCTGCCTCCTGCATGCCCCCTAATGGGGATCGAGCCCGAAACCCGTGCATCTGCTCTGACCAGAATCGAACCGGTGACCTCTTGGTGCCACACCAGCCAGGCACTTTATGTTTCGTTTTGTTTTATAATAGTCCCATCACCAGTAGTATTGTTTATTTGTGTAAGGTTATTCTGCTTAGGACTTTTAAGTTTCAGGAAATATCAGTCTAAAGTAAATCATTAATTTAAGAATGATAAAGATACTTCACGGAAAAGAGAAGCTGGGCCCTACCAAGTCACAGACCCTTAAACTGTTCCTCAAAACCTCTCTCTATGTGTTTTTTTTCTAACAGGCCTGTTTCCCGTTACTGTTTGGAAGGTGTAGATCAATCTGCTCACTTACCTGTGTCTCTAGAATATTCAGATGTTCAATAGACAGCAAATTGAACATGCAAAGAAATTATTTCAAAAGAAAGGGAAATGTTTTCACATGGTCTTATTTTTAGCACCTCCACTCTCAGCTTCACTTGGAACATGTTTCTCTCCAGCGCTCGAGCTCCCTCACCTGGTGCCTGACACCTGGAGAAAGGGCTGGGCTGATGGTGAGACAGAAAGGGGCTGGGCAGGGCTTCCTGGCAGGAGGGTCATCTGCAGGTGACCCCAACCCATGACCTCGTGTCCCAGATCACGACACCACCCTTGACCCAGCCCCAGTGTGGTCTGACAAGGCAGCCCCGAGGTCAGCATCCCAATGCCATCTCCTCTGGTTCCAGATAAGATTGAAGACGAGCTAGAGATGACCATGGTTTGCCACCGGCCCGAGGGCCTAGAGCAGCTGGAGGCCCAGACGAACTTCACCAAGAGGGAGCTGCAAGTCCTTTATCGAGGCTTCAAAAATGTAAGACCCCATGGCCCCTGGAGGCCAAGCAGGCCTTCCCTGGAGCAGGGCCTCCCAGTGCCACAGGGCCCATCAGGGAGCTTTCCCATCTCTGTCCTAAGAGGAAGACGGTCAGCTCTAAAGAGGGGACATGAGAGCAAGACCACCTGGCTAGAAAGGAAGACCCCAGGTGAGGATGAGGGTCTAGCTTAGCGTAACCCACTCACACTCACTGTTGGCGGTGGCTCAGAAACCACGGGGTTTCGGTCTGCGGCTCCCCAAGCCGACGGAGACTGATAAGAGAGCCCAAATGCAGGTATATTCATTGACTGCATATTTCACACGCTGAACCTCACAACACCCTTGTTGGGAGGGTCCTGTTAGCCCCATTTTACAGCTGAGGGCATTGAGAATTGGACACTGACGCATTCACAGTCACAAAACTTAGAAGGGGCTGAGCCAGGAACCAGCCCAGGCCTTTCCCATCCCAAAGTCCACACTGTCCGCCTCCCAGTGCCCGTTCTCTGAGGAAGTCCATCACTTTGCAAAGTGGCTTCGATCCTAAGGTAGGGCTGACCCCCAGCCACTCACCTCAGGGCCACGGAAGTCCCTGCCCACCAGAGATCACGAGGTACCCTAGACCCCAGCGTTGGACCTGCCTACTGCTCCCGGGACAGGCGCCCAGCCGCCCCCTGACTCTGTGCCCTCCCCGCAGGAGTGCCCCAGTGGTGTGGTCAATGAGGAAACCTTCAAGCACATCTACGCTCAGTTCTTCCCCCACGGAGGTGAGTCCCACCTTGGAAACGATCCTGCCCGGCTCCCTCTTTGGTGGGCAGCCTTCCTTTCTCCAAGTTCATGCTCCTTGTCACCTGCCCACTCCTCAGCACTGGGGAGAACTCAGGGCAAGACGCCTCCCTGTTACAAGGCGCGAGTTCACTAAAGCTGCAGCAGAGAAGAGCTCCTAGAAGGGACCCGGTCCAGGAGAGGAGGAGGGGCTGGTCGGGGGCCCAGACAGCCTGGCACAACTCGGAAGGCGGGGCTGTCCTCCCGGTGCGCGGCTGAGTGTCAGAGGCTAAGCCTCTCTCAAGGTCACGTGGCTAGCGAGTGGCAGGCGGAGGCGGTCCCCTAAGCGTCTGATGGAGACCTTTGCCATGTTTGCTCCACTGTCCCACCCACTCCCGACCGCTGTGCCACCCACTTCCCACCACTGTGCCACACACTCCCCACCGCGCCACACACTCCCCACCGCTGTGCCACCCACTCCCCACCGCTGTGCCACACGCTCCTTTCCTTTTCCTACCACAGCTGGGTGAAGCCAGGGTTTTGAAAAAGAAACCAGTAAGTACTAGAGGCCACAAAATAAACTAATCTGAAAAGATGCAGGGAGCATAAAGTCATGTTGATAAATCGAGGTTAGCGAGGGTGCCTGGCCCACAGCTGCTCTGTTGCCCTGTCTTCTCCTGCGGGAACCCTCTCTGGTCCATGGGCCTGCGACATCAGTGGCTCTTCCTCCAGCTTCCACATGTCACCTGCCACCTTACTGTTTGTCCCCAGGAGCTACCTCCTGTGGGACCCTTCCCAGGATCCCGATGAAACAGAGACCAAGCATCCTGAACACAGCTTGGCAGCAGGCAGGCGCCTTCCCTGGTGTGGGGCCCCCACCCACGTTGGGAGGCAGTTTCGTCCCATTCAGACCCTAGAATTGCCCATTGTTGAGTTCTCTCAAGCCACTCTTTATTGGGTTTGGACTGTGTGGTGGGCTTGGTGGCTTTGGCGATGGGACTATGCGAAAAAGTTAACATGCTTTTTCAAAAGTGTCTAGAGGTAGGTCTTGCTATATCCCATTGTACAGAGGTGGGAAAGTGAAGCTCAGAGAGGTGGCATTAAATGCCTGTGGTCACACAGCTACATAGTAACAGAACTGCTCTCCAAACCCAGGGCGTTGTCTGCCACTCAGAAGAGCATCTCCACGCGCTCACGGTGACAGTGAGTCACCGTGTCATTCTTCCACCAAGAAGCACATGCACACGCAGGAGGGTCTTTCTCTGGGGATAGCTAGGTGGAGGCCCCAGGGCCTGTCTCGCTCTCACTAGAAAGTCCCACCGAAACCCCAGGAGAGCCAAACGCGCCCAGGTTCAGAGCCATGGGTTTGCGGCTCCATGGGCCCCTCCTTTCCATCCCTCTAGCAGTACCCTCTTCCCTTCCTTACTGTTTTAAGTGACCTCACTCCCTCTGCAGAGCCCCTGCCCCCATCGCCTGCCTCTCCCTCTGCCTTGCAGATGCCAGCACCTACGCCCACTACCTCTTCCATGCCTTCGACACCACCCAGACAGGCTCCGTGAAGTTCGAGGTATGTGCGTCTCTGAGACCCCCCAGGTCCCTGTCTCCTCTCCCCCTAAATCACGGGGTGTTGGGGAAAGGGTTGCATCATCAAAGTCCCTCCGTCAAGACAAAGAAACCTGCATCCTTTTATCAAGCATTTCCTGAATAGAGGAGCAGCAACTGCCCCTCCTCCAGGACCTCAGGGCCTCGGGGGACTAGTGATGACAGTTTAATGGCTCCCATGCACGCAGAGCTGACCCCGTGGCAGACTCTGTACTTGGTGCTTTAGGTCACTGAACCCTCACAATAACCCGACAAGGTAGGGAGCTGTTATTTATTACCAGTTGCAGGAGAGGCGAGTAAAGCAGAGATGGAGGGACCTTCCCAAGGTCAAACAGTAAAGGAGGGATTAGAACTCACGTAGGATGTTCCCAGAGCCCACGCTCTTAGCCACGAGGCTGTGCCTCCATTTGTACCATAACTGCGGCCACAGGATGAGGCAGCCACAGGGAGGCTGGGTTCACCTGTGTCTGGAGGTGTCAGCACACACAGAGCTCCTTTCCTCCTCCAGGGGGCGCCCCCCGAAAAAGTGGGGCAGGTGGGGAATGCAAGGGGGCCTTCTTCACTGAGCTTGGCCGTGTCCTTCGGGAGACAGAGGGCGTGGGAGACGTTGCTTTTTGTGTAAAAGCATTCACAGAGTCGGACCCAAGGACAGCCTCGCCCTCCCGATGGCTCGGGGGTAATGTCACTTGTGCCTCTTTGCTTCTCAGGACTTCGTAACCGCTCTGTCAATTCTCCTGAGAGGCACCGTGCATGAGAAACTGCGGTGGACGTTTAATCTGTATGACATCAATAAAGATGGGTACATCAACAAAGAGGTGAGTGTGCTGAGGCCAGGGCCGCGAGGGGGCCGCAGGAAGGCCTCTAACCGCATAGGAAACAGCCCCAGTCACATGAGGACAGTGTCCAAATGAGGAGTCCGCCTGGGGCTACCAGAGCTGGTGCCCACGAAAGGGACAGCTCACCTTTGACCTCCCATTGGCCTACCCCACCTTTCCCAGGCTCTGCGGAGGGCTAAACAGAACCACGCGCTCTCACTGGGTCCCCCGCATTCAGTGCGCATTTCGAAGTGGGGATAAGAGGTTTATTTCAGTAGAGTTACTCTTCCCAGGGCAACATGCATGTTGACAGGTTACCAGCCACAAGTGAAAGGCAAACGTCGGAGGAGTTTGCAGTTATCACCTCGAAGAGGAAAGGGGGATGCGGGACCAAGAGGCAGCGACCGTGGGATCATGTGGGCCACGGCCTCCCTGGCCTGCTAGTGACCCCGCAGAAGGGCAGGGCAGGGCAGGGCTCAGCCGCCTCCACAGGAACCATCGCAGATGATTTCCAAATCTCCACTGCTTGACACGTTTAGAGCCTCGGAGTCGGGGTGGTGTGTAGCCAGTGAAATGCCCGCAGAGCCAGTGAAATGCCCGCAGGTCCATCCCGAAACTCGCGTTGGTGTCGACTGTGTCCCGGCATCTCGGTTGCAGCTGGACTTTGCACCCGTAACGTCCCACTTTCTGAGCGCCACTCCTCACCTCGCCCTGCAAGGTTCCATCCAGTTCTTTCATTCGGTCTCCTATTTGCCCAACACGTACTTGAGGGCTTATTAGGTATCCCAGGTACTTATTAGGTGTCCCAGGTGAACACTGAAAATGCAAAAACCCTACTATCCCCTAGTAGCAGATGTGTTACATGAATTCCAGTGAATACATATAGTGGAAATACAAGTGCCATTTGACACCATGCAAGAGTAATAAGGCGGAAAACTTCGTATGATGCATTGCATTTGAAAAGTCACTTTATAAAGCAGCATGTATGATATCATACAGGGTAGCTCAGCTTTAGTCAGATGTCCACCTTCGTTGCAGTCAACTGTGGTAAATGTCTCTCGTGGCCATGAGGACAGGTCACCTGGTACTAATACAGCCACCCAGGCTCACCCACTCAAAGGAACTAATAGAGTGGGGAAAGGGTCTTCCAAAAATGGAGAGTGGGCTGATCAACACATAAACATGCTCACCCCAACCCCAACACAACCCCTCACTGAGGGTAACGCTCAAGAAAAGGTAACCTACCCAAGAGTTCCCGAAGGCAACGAGAACTTTCCACTGTCCTCTCCCTAGGAGGAGGCTCCCAGAATAGAGCCCCTCCAGCCTGCTCTCTAACTCCCTCTCATCAGCTGAAGAAGGTCCTTGTGATCAATTTTCATCCATAAGGGGAACAAGGAGCCCCAAACCATCACCTAAGAAGAGTTTGACCTCATGGTTTCCATACCCTGTGCTTCCATGTCCCCTGACCAGGAGATGATGGACATCGTCAAGGCCATCTATGACATGATGGGGAAGTACACATATCCTGTGCTCAAAGAAGACACTCCCAGGCAGCACGTGGACGTCTTCTTCCAGGTAAGTGTCCACACCTGTGCGTGAGCTTCAAGCTCAACTTAGGTCAGTCAACCTGCCAGCATCTGAGCAGTGGTCGGTGTCTGAGCCTGTCCTGCACATTGTAGGAAACAGAAAAGATTTACAAATGTCTTGTTCTCCGGGGATAGATGACCTCATTGACCAGATGAGTATACACTACAGAGAAAACAGGGAATTAGACGTGGTACAGTACAGACTCTAAGAACCATAAAAACCCTTGGGGGACCCTAGTCCACAGAGAAGACGTCATTAAGCACATTTGTGTAGGTGGTAAGCATTGGGGTCTAGAAAGTAAAGGAAATAAGCTTGGAAACTATGGTGGGATGGGTTGTGAGATCTTGACATGCAAGACTTCGTCTTTGTCTGGTTGAATGGGTGGCCTTTGCTGATCCATGAGTAGAAGAGAGGCAAGGGCATAGCGGTGTTTTAGTAAAAATGAACCCAGCAGTAGAGTATCCAAGAACGCCGGAGCTCATGCTAGTAGAGTCCTCTCAATTTGCAGATGGGAAACACAGAAGCTCAGAGAGGCTTAGAGACTCGCTCAAGGTCACACAGTAGGTGACAGAGACAGAAGTAGAAACTCTCGTGTCCAGTGTCCTTTCTGCCAGATGAACAGGCTAGCAGCATCTCGGGAGATGCCTGAGGGTGTCAGCAGGATGATACCGTGACGAAGTGATGAGAGTCTGGAGCGTGTCGTAATTTCAAGGATGCTCGTGGGGGTCAGAGTGCTGTAACCNAGCAGCATCTCGGGAGATGCCTGAGGGTGTCAGCAGGATGATACCGTGACAAAGTGATGAGAGTCTGGAGCGTGTCGTAATTTCAAGGATGCTCATGGGGGTCAGAGTGCTGTAATCAGGGCCCGGTGGAGTTGTCTGGCCAGTGAGAGACACCCCCCCCCCGCATTCTCGGGGCAGCGTTGGTTAATAAAAGGCAAGTTCTGGAATGCGGATTACCGGGTTTTTTAAAGTGCTTCTTCTCATGTCTTTCAGAAAATGGACAAAAATAAAGACGGGATTGTGACTTTAGACGAATTTCTCGAATCCTGTCAGGAGGTGAGGCGAGATCCCAGGGCACAATGTTTCTGAACCTGGGCAAGGGAAGCTGGGGCTCGGTGACCTGCAGAAGAGAAAATGAGCCTCGGGTCAGAGCCACTGCTACCACCAGCAGCAACTCAGAATTCCAACAGTCGCCGCTCCCCGGCCCTGGAATGATCAGTGGTTGGTCTCGGCCCAGCGGGCGAGCCAGACGGCCTGAGAAGGGCTGGGGGATGCGAAAGCCCAGAGGGGTCTCTGTGAAGCTGCAGGCTTCCCACATGGGCAACACCATCACTTTGTAACCTGCCTCTCGCTTGATGACCCGCTCCCCAGGTGACAGGGGAGTAGCTGCGGGGAAAAATCTAAAGCTGAGATTTTCAAACTACAGTGTGCTTGAGAACTGCCTGGCGTGATTCTAGAAATGTACTTTTCCAGGCCTCAATCCCAGAGACTCCAGGTCTGGGGTGGGGTCTAGAAATCTTCATTTTTAACACACATACCCTGAGAACCCATATACTAACCACTAGGCAGTAATACCTCCCTGTTCTAGAAACTTTTAAAAGATTTTACATACCCAGCGTCAACTTTTGTCTTTATCAATTTTCTCTATTATAGGTCTGCTTTTTATTTCATTAATTTGGGCTCCGAATTATTTTCTTCCCTCTGCTTTTTCATTTTAATTCTATTTTCCAGGTTTTCTTCTAGTTTTTTGAGATGGAGATTTCAATCACTGATTTTCAACCCTTCTTTGCTAATATATGCGTTTAAAGAGAGAAGTTTTCTTCTGAGTACTGCTTTAGCTGAGTACTGTTCAGATCCCCCCAATTTTTTTAAAAAATATATCTTTATTGATTTCAGAGAGAGGAAAGGAGAGGGAGAGATAGAAACATCAATGATGAGAGAGTCATTGATCGAGCCCGCAACCCAGGCATGTGCCCTGACCAGGAATCAAATCCTGATCGCCTGGATCCTAGGTTGATGCTCAACTGCTGAGCCACGCCCGGCTGGGCCCCCCAATTTTTTTATTAATATTTTTATTGATTTTTGGAGAGAGAGGGAGAGGGAGAGAGAGAGAGAGAAACATCGATGTGAGAGTGAAACATCGATCAGCTGCCTCCTGCTTGCCCTCTACCAGGGATCGAGCCTGAAACCTGGGCATGTGCCCTGACCGGGAATTGAACCAGCAACCTTTTGGTGCCCGGGACGATACCCAACCAAATGAGCCCCACTGGCCAGGGCTAGATCCTCCAAATTTTGATGTCATATTTTCATTATATTTTAATTCAAAGTATTTTCTTCTCTGACCCATGAAATACAACTTATCAAAACTAACAAAAAGGAAATTGAAAATGTGAATAGCACTATGTCTGTTAAAGAAATTGAGTTAGTAATTTAAAACTTTCCCACAGAGAAAATGGCAGGCTCAGGTGCCTTCACTGGTAAATTCTTCCAAACATTTAAGGAAAAAATGAATCTAATTTTATACAAGCTCAAAGAATAGAGAAAGAGGGAAAACTTCTCAACTTGATTTATGAGGCTCTCAAAACCCTAATATCAAAACTTGACAAATGTCATTACAAGATTTTTTTAAAAAAAATTCAGGCTAATATATTCCTTCTGGATCTAGATGGAAAAAATCAAATCCAGCAATATGTAAAAAGCATAGTGCTTCATGAACAAATGGGCCTTGTTACAGAAATGCTAGGTGGGTTTAACTTTCAAGAATTAATCAGTGTAATTAATGACATAGCAGAATAAAAAAGAAAAAAATGTGGTCATCTCAGTAGATGTTGAAAAATCATTTCATAAAATGCAATTGCCCAGAGCTTCTTCAAAGCAGCAGTACTCGCTGTGTCACCAAATAATTGGTTCCTTCCAAATTCCTTAAGGCCAGAGGAGGTGCTTCTGGCCTTGAGTGGCTGGGTCCCAGCCCTCAGGGTCACCCCATTTCTCACGCCCTTGCAGGGGAAGCCCATGCTGGGGGTTTGCCCTCCAGTTACAGGAAAGGGCCTCATGAATTCGAACCATTCTCTCCTCCCCTCCTTCCCAGGATGACAACATCATGAGATCCCTCCAGCTGTTCCAAAACGTCATGTAACTACGGACACGGCCATCCGGCTCTCAGAGACCTTGTGCTAAACCACCGACTTACCACCTTGACCTGCCCTCCTGATTTGCACTCCGACACTGGGACAGGACCGCCGTCCCCGCTTCGGAGCATTCTCTGCGGAAGACTGTGGAGCGGGCATCGTGTGGCCTGGCTCTGACCGCCAGCTGTCCCTCCTCCCTCCTCCCGAGAGAGACCAGACGGAACGGGAAGCATGCTCCTCTCCCGCTGCTGCCCCCGAAGCCCCTCTGCCCGAGCTTAGCCGGTCGTGCTCACGTGTCTGCTTGT